TTCAAGTTTGGCCATTTTATTATCTAGTGTTTGTATGGACAGTTGCCTCGTATAGCCAAATATTGAGTTCGCTCTCTCAAGTTCTTTGTTTTAGTAGTGATGTAGCGTTCATGAGCAATTAGTTTGTTTTTAATTAGTCTTTTGTATTACTCAGAAATAACAAGTCGCCTCTGTGTTAGAGTAACTGGTTTATTTTGTCTGGGCTATGCAAGTGCGTCATTCAGTTTGAACATCTGAAAAAGGCTCTTTCTTGGACAGGTCTTTTTATCAGCATCTGGTGACATTTCGGCAACTGTCTGAATATTATTAATCCGAATGAAAAATAGCACACGCAATATGCACTTGTAAATATGGCAATTATCATTGTTTTCCCCATTGCTTGGTCAGCTCTGAAACTAGCCTACTGTTGGTAAAACGGACATGATTGAGTGATCTCAATTTTGTCATGAACATAACTTTTTCAAGTGTGTCCATGTCTTCTTCCCAGAAAATGCTACTAAAGATGACCGCCGTATTGCCTCTGCTGCTGGACTTTGCAAAAAATTGGTGGGACATTTCTCACACAGCTGGAAGCAGAAGGTGGCACTGAAATAAGCACAACAAGAGCATAACCTGCCAGAGCATTTCATCAAAGAATGCAAAACCAGGTGGGGCTCAAGGCAAAAGATGATGGAGAGGGTCTTGGAGCAGCGGCAGGCCCTATTTGATGTCCTCTTGGCAGACCGTAAAACACGGCATCTGGTTCCCTCATGGCAGGACCTGGATGTGCTTGAGTCTGTAACCTTGGCGTTATACCCTTTTGCAAGAATTTACTGATGCTCTTTCCTGAGAAAGCTATGTGAGTATTTCATATGTTAAACCTGTACTTCATCTTTGAAAGACATCAGTACTTGCAGCAAAGGAAGATGACTCTGATTTAACCAAGACTATAAAAGCAAAAATCTTGGATTATATGATTACAAAGTATGATGACCCAACAACACAAGAACTACTGGACACTATATCTTTCATTGACCCCAGGTTCAAGGGCAACTACATTAGCAAAGAAAAGACCAGGGTGATGTCAGAAATAGAAGAAACAGCACAGAAAGTAATTAGTTTAGGCATTTTATGACAAGCTTGCATACTGTAATCAGATGTAGCATTATCTGAATGTGGATGGAACATATCTATTTTTCATTGTGTTCTAAACTGTCTCTCTGTTTTAGGAGGGAACACTTTCTGACAACACTTAGGCCAAAAGCATGGATTCACCCAGTGACAAGAAGGCAAAACGATCATTGGGCAGTTTGCTAAAAACAAATTCAGGCTCCACTCCCACTCCATCTTCCATGCAGCTGGAGCAAGCTGTTGAAGCTGAACTGAACAGCTACTTGCTGTCCCCAACTATTGACAGCGAGGCAGACCCTTTGTCTTGGTGGAAACTCCACCAGGTCACCTACCCAAAGCTAAGCAAACTAGCTCAGAAATATCTTTGTATACCTGCCACTAGCTCACCCTCAGAGAGGCTCTTTAGCACATCAGGGAATGTGGTAACTTGTCAGCAAGCCTGATTGAAACCTAGTAAAGTTAACATGCTGGTTTTCTTGGCCAAGAACTTGCCCTAAGGCAGGGGTGGCCAATCTTATCCACAAAGGGCCAGTGTGTATGTAGGTTTTTGGGATAACCTGTAGGTCAGCTGTTCAAACCCAAGTGTGAGGACTCTTCAGCCAATCAGTCCTCTAATTAGTAATCTAATTAGGGAGTTGCAGCGAAAACCCACACACCAGCCCTTTCAGGATAAGATTGGCCACCCCTGCCCTAAGGAATGACTAAAGCAGTAAATTATCAATTGGGGGATAATTCTTTAAATGATTTTGCCTTCATTTTTCTTGATTTAGTGGCCTTAATCTATTTCAGTTTTCCTCTTCATAAATCAATGCACCTTGTTGAGCAGAGTGAAGTGCTTTGATTACTGTAATAGAATATAAATTATCATGTTTTAGTTATATTTATTTATAATTTATTTATTTGTTTTCCCATAGATATTTTGCTTTTGTTTAGGAGAGAAGATTTTAAAAGAAACAAGAGAAAAAAATTGTTATAATGTAATATAGTTGTCTTATATTAATGTTCTTGTGGTTTGTGTTAGTAGAACCTATTAAAGACATAGGAACTGTATATGCACTTAAGTATTTATTTATCGCAAGTGATATCGTCATTGCAATACTGAATAGCGTTATTCATATACATTTTCCTCATATCGTGCAAGCCTATTCATCATGACATGCTGTTAAACAAATTGGCAAATTATAACATTCCCATACACACACAGAACTGCTTTAAATCGAGTCACTGACAGAAGTGTTTGCGTGTGAATAATTTACTATCCCTACTTAAAGCATGCACACTAGGAATGCCACAAGGGTGAATTTTAGGACTGCTGCTTTTTAGTATATATATATTAATGATCTTCCATCTGTGTGAAATGATGTTGATATAAAAGTGTACGCTGATGACACTGTATACTCATGGGAAAAGTGTGACAGAGGTGGCTATGAAACTAACAAAGGAAATGAATAAGGTTGTTGAATGGCTGCACAACTCACATCTTACCTTAAACATTGAAAAGACTGTAACCATGTTTTTTGCAAATAGGAGCAAACTTAGGGATTGTCCTGACATCTTAGTAAATGGGCAAAAAATAAAAAATGTAGAACAGTTTATATATTTGGATGTTACCCTTCATCCAACTCTCATTTTAAAAAATTAGGTAACACACTAAAATTTAATCTTACAAATTTTATACAAATAAAGTCTCTTCAAGTATCTCTCATCATGTATGTATTTAAATGCAATGATTATTCCACATTTTTATATTGCATTACAAGTTGGTCTCAGGCATGTAAAACAACCCTAAGACAGCTTTAAATTTTGAAAATTACTTCATAAATCATTCATAAAGCTGCTGCTCCTCCTTTGAAAAAATTGTTTACACTTTGCTCTGAAAAAACAATATGAGCAACTCGATCGGCTATAATGATCCCCACAATGTAATAAAAACCTGTTATCTTGATATACTGTCTTTTTTCATTATTGCTGCTGTTTTCTCAAAGAATTTCCCCATTGTGGGATTAATAAAGTCTAATCTAATCTAATCTAATCTATCAAATTGTAGGAACCATTTTTCAGGTCCCCACAAAGATTAAAAAATTAAAAAGTCTTGTATTTTGTTTTGGTTAGTTATGGTTAAGGTTAGGGCTGGGTAGGGCTGTCATGTTGAGATTGGAGTTTTCCCCCATAGAAATGAATGGAAAGTCCCCACAAAGATATAATTACAAACCTGTGTGTGTGTGTTTGTGATATGCAGCATTGGTAGATATTTGTGAGAGCTGGGGAGAGCAAACTAGTTTTGCAATATGGGAATGATCGTGACCTTAAAAGTACTGTTGCTGCACCTTTGTGTGGCAACCTGAACTTTACGAATTGTAGTGATTAGATGAGGTGGGATATGGGGTTGAAATGTTTGCATGATTTTCTGACCTGTATTGCATACACCATTTACATCTTATTCTGTCATGTATTTCAGTTCATAACTCGCTAATTGTAATTCAGTTCATAAATCTAATTGTAGAAACATGAAAAAAACTCTGACTAAATCCGTAATCTGTCTTCTTTTCAAAACATCCATTGTCAGAAGTGTTAAAGTTTTTTTAATTAGGTTAAATAGGCAAAAAAGTAAACCATACCACATCACCTTTCTTTGTTTTAGCTGCATTGGGGGCGTGTAGTGCCGGCCTCACCTGAAGATCGCTATTCGCATTCTAAATAGCCGCATCACCGCGTATTCAAATCGCATTCACATGGTAATTTGATTAACAATGCAACGGTGAACCGCGATCCAGATACATCCCCATCAGTGCCATAAAGGGGAGGGGGGGGTGTGGCCAGGTGTGAATGGCTCATGCATACACATGAGAGCTCCTATATACTGTAGTCAATGGAAGGGGACCAGAAATAGTGACATGAGTTACCTTTTTCTTATTTATTTATCCAACTGAATGTTGCAACTACACCATTTAGTCATCTTCATGTAGCCAAGACTTTGGTCTGGGATCAAAACAAACTTCCACCATTGCTTACTAGGTACTTTTATTATAATAATAATAATAATAATAATAATAATCAATACTTTATTAATTAATTGTCTTTACACCTCCCTCTTTGTAGAGTAAGTTGTCTGTGAAGGGCAGCCACCCATAGCAGCACCCAGGAAGCTTGGGTTTAAGGACCTTGCTCAAAGACCCACAGACATGCTGAGGCTGGGTTTGAACCGGTGACCTTCTGATTACAGGCACACAGACGTAGCCCACTGAGCCACATGCTGCCCCCAACGCTTCTGAAAGTGTTCCAAACTGCATTTTGCAATGTCTATACTTTGATGTTAAATTACAAACTTCACATAATTCTGGCATATTTACAAAGTACACTAAGATTAAAATGAGTTTAATGCCAAAACAAATATATAAGAAATAATTTATTTTCCATGAATTAAGTTTATGATATTGAATGAAATGTGTGACCATGCCCCAGTCAGTGAATGTGTGTTCCCTACCCCTAGACCCCAGAGGGTTAACGTGCTATCTATCTGCTCAGGGACTACGGGGGGAATTACCAATACTTGGTAAAACCTGGTACAATAGATCTTTCCTTGTTTTATACAAGGTTAATGTTTTATTGGGCAGTGTCCCTTTTTAAATAAATAAATAAATAAAATGTAAAAAAATGTTGCTGTTTGTTATTATTGGAAGCTGATGCTAATCAATACTACTACCTCACCTAGCACCTCTGAGCTACCTAACATCAGAGCTCAGCCAAGGAGGACACCATTAATGTTTAATGCCAAACTTTGAAATTTTGTATCAGTTTCCAATCAAACACCAAACTGTTTTCATAGGATTTCCCTAATATGCATGAACAAGTACGGTAAAGAAATAGTTAATATACATCTATGCACTGACCTTTTCCAGGGAACGAAGAACGTTTTGCCTCTCCTTAAGCTTCTGAATACTGATAATAATCTTGTGTCTTGCCCCTTTAGTAACATTCTGCAAATAAAAAGAATTCTTATAACCAATACAGTAACCATTGACAAAACTACAACATTGTGCTACATGCATTCTTTAACCTGTAAGAGGCTATTACATGACAATTGTCAACATATTCTAAGGTTCATGAATTTAGATGTAACAAAGGATTGTAGGTCAGTCCTCCTTTTGCTTTTGAATCATTAGTTACTCGAACACAGTGACCTATATCTGTTCCATGAGAAAGGGTATAGTCTACGGCAACACAAACATGCACTTGCTCATTTGAACTCGCGCAGTGAAAATTCAGTGAAATTTCAAGGCACTAACCTGGGTCTCCAGCTGTTGTTCTGTGAGTGACATCATTTCATCATAGGTCATGGTTGAGAACAGAGATGCATACTTGTGGAGGCGGAGACTTTTCAACCAAGCCGGTACATCTGTAGAATACCCAGAAGAGTTATAGCTTTTAAAAGGAAGAATTATGAAATTAAATCAAACTAGCCAAAATCTCACTTTAACAGAACTGATAATACACTTCTATTAAAAGTACTAGCAAGGAACTGGTCATTTCCATATTGTTCAGATACTTTGTGTCCAGAGAGGCAGAGGATAAATCTGCTTATTTATTGCAATATATTTATAAATCAATAAGAAACAAAGACAATATATGTACCAAAGATAATTGTCTGGCTTACAGTACAATTCATGCGAATCTCTGATACATATTGTACACCAACATTGTTAGATTATTACTTCAAAATATATTAAATTTACATAAAGTTCTTTTGAATCTGTTATTTTTACATTAATGTTACAATGTTTTGAATCATTAGTTACTCGAACACAGTGACCTATATCTGTTCCATGAGAAAGGGTATAGTCTACGGCAACACAAACACGCATTTGCTCATTTGAACTCGCGCAGTGAAAATTCAGTGAAATTTCAAGGCA